AGCCCGATATGGGTCATGCCGCATTGACACTTGGTTCGATGTCGGAAAGACTCCGCTGACCTTGACCTAGCGGAGCTACAATCTCGCTGAATTGCTAGAGATGCCCAATAAGCACATCAACGGGTATGAAAACGCCTCTGAGCCCTTGAGCAAAGACAACAAAATTGACCCTCGCAGAATAATGAGTAGAAAGTAAGAGAAAATGCACGACCACCTGTCCAACCGCGCCACCAAAGCTGCCCCGCAATAACCTGACCCATCAGCAAAGCATATGAAGATAACAAATGGAAACACACAACCAACGATCAATCCAGTATCATGAACGGCTCCAGTATGATTACAAGGCTCCAAGAGCTACGCCCCTGAGGGTGTCAATGGCAGATATTGTAGATGTAATTTAGGACAGATTTTTTTTGGAAGGCATAACCAATGAGGACCAGAGCTTTCCTCCAATACAACAAGAAATATTGTAAGTACCACATGGACCACAGGCACGACACATAATAGTTCAAGTACCTTTGGAACCTGATCGAGGAACTGATAAAATACAAAAAATTGAAAGTAGTTGTCACCCTTGGAGCCACGACTTAGAGGCAAGAAAAATCCAAGCTAGTGGAGCATCTGATAGAGCTATCCTCATCAATGTTATCCATATTGCAGGGTTCATCCCCACCATACTCGTAGGAACCAAGCCCGAAGGATGCCTACTCACTGTCGAGGATCGATGCATTGGTGAATTCAACTTCCTTGACGCGTTCTTCGGGTACCATCAGATAAAAATCCACCCCGTCGATGCTGAAAAGTCTTCTTTTATTACTAGTGAGCGAATTTATAATAACATAATGTTCTTCGGGCTAAAAAATGCTAGGGCGACCTACCAACAAGTCATGAATGTAATTTTTTCTAGTCAGAAGGGAAATAACATTTAGGTCAAAAGCTGGTCTGCCGCACAACATATAAAGGAACAAAATGAAACCTTTCTAAAACTTAAAAGATTTAAAATGAAGTTAAACCCATTAAATTTTAAGTTCAAAGCCTCGATGAGCAAGTTCGTAGGAAACCTACTAACACTAAAAGGTATAAAAGCCACCCCCGAAAAAATCCAAGTGTTTATAGCTATGTCATTCCCCAAAAAAACCAAAGAGATGCAAAAACTAATTGGTCGAATAGGAGGACTTAGCAGATTCATTTCTAGGTCAGGAGATAAAAGTGCCCCCTTTTTCAAGGTGCTTAGAGAAGCCAAGTGTTTTGAGTGGACGTGTGAATGTGAGGAAGCCTTTATAAAACTCATGAAAACCCTCGCCTCTCCCCCTCTTCTCCAAAGCCCAAGACTAAAAGGAAAACTCTCCTTTTACTTGGGAATTAACCTAGAGCAGGTCATCAGCTCGGTTTTGGTCAAAGAAGAAACTAATAAACAATACTAAGTGTGCTACACCAAGAAAATCCTCAGAGGTGGAGAACTCAAGTATCAAGTAATTAAGAAACTAACTTTTACTTTAATTATTTCAACATGCAGGATCCGACAATATTTTCAATTTCATCCCATACAAGTCATCACAATCCATTCGTTGAAGTCTATCCTCACCTGCCTGAAACATTCTGACCGATTGCACGAATGGACCATCAAACTTAGCGAATTTGATATTTCATACGCTCCTCAGACAGTAATGAAGGAACAGACTGTCGCTGATTTCTTGGTGGATTTCTCCAAACTCCTTAAAATTGGAGGTGATCAACGATCTACCGATTCATTTGGAATTTATTTATGGACAGTGCCTCTAGCCGATTTGGAGCTGGACTAGGAGTATTTCTATGCAGCTCAACGAGGGAAAACATTTACCACTCAATGGAGGTAAATTTTTAACTAGCAATCAGACAGAATATGAAGCTTTGTTTACAGGCCTTCGGTAAAATAGGGAATGGGAGTCCTACACATACATGTAAAGGCCGACTCACAGCTAGTCTTCAATCAGGTTAACAAAGCATTTAAAGAAACTGATGCGAAAATGGTAAGGTACCTTCAAAAGATGAAGGTGAAGATTGGCAAATTCAACAGCTTCAAAATCGAACATGTCCATATGGAGGAAAACTAGATTAGAGACCTCCTCTCCAACAATCTATGCTTAGGGAATGGACAACACCAAAGACTCAATCGGCCTACGATCGACTAACCGCAAGCATTGTAAATCCACACCGAGGAAAAGAAAAGCTAGTTCAACCCGTACATTTGTTTCCTGTTGACAGGATAAGTCAACAAAAAGATTATTAATCCGAGGAGGTTCAAATTTAAAGCTGCCAAGTACTTAATGGTCAAGGGAAAATTATTCGAGAAGTTGACCACAACCTTGGAGATACATGTCGGCGAGTGTACGAGGTACACTAGAGGTAAACCTTTCTCCCATCAGATCCAGCAGTAGGAGTATTTGTGACTAACACAAATGGAAGGGAGGGAAGAGTCAAATGTCAAGAAGGAAGAAAGATTGCACGAATTTCTCTCACACCATGACTCATTTATAGCGGCGCGGGCGTGAAAATCCAGGAAAGTCATTATTAAGCAATAATGACGATTAATTGTAATTACTATATATTTTTGCACCATCGAAAAAGATTCCCTTGTTCTTTTGTGATGCACAACTTTGAGGAAGAAAGGAAATAGGAGAACAAAATATATACACAAAAATTACGTCGATATGAATCTCAATACAATCAGGTAACTCAGAAGAAAGGGGATGATTGATCGTCCGACTGGTCGTCTACAACAATCGAAAACCAAACGGTTACAAAATGACCGACGAATCAAATGTGATGCTAATGAAAAAAATGTAAGATGCCAACAAGCGTATCAAGGGACCCCGCTCTTTGGACGAAGATCTGCCCTTTTAAAATCTGTCATCATATAACCTAAACTCGGATTAAGTATCGATAGAGACAAGATGGGACGAATGGTCGACGAGCTTGTTACCATTCGAATAAACTAACCTGTCTTATTATATATTCAAATGTCCTTATGATTTATTGGAGGGCCCCTCCAAAAATTAATGATGAAGAGACATATCTATAATTTGTAGAACCAAGACTCATTCATATAAATGGGGGTCTATATCATGAATAAAAGTTTACGCGTTCCTTACTGTTTATTAATGTTTCTACTTTCAAAGAGATGTTTTAATTCTTGGATGTGTTTTTAGGACATTTTTGAATTCAAGAGCTAAGATGATAATCCATTGCTCTGTTGTAATAAATGTTTTAGCACACATCAAATATAATTCTAACAAGTGGATTTCAATTAATTCAATCATTTACTTTAGAAAAGTAATTTAAGAGAATTGACTTCTGAATTTCAAATTTATCTTAACTGTTCTTAGAATTTTAATTCATCTTAACTGTTCTTAGAATCTTAATTTATCTTAGAATTCATCCATTCACTCTTTACTGTTCATTAATGTTGTTAGAACTTTAATTTAAGAGAATTTATCTTAACTGTTCTTCTAATTTTAAAGCTCTCAGAACAAATCATTTTATATATTTCACACCTAAATATCAATATTTACATAATAAGCACTTCCGTTAATAGTGTCAAACCATCTCGCCGTAGCTCGCCGAAAGGGAAAACGGACAGGCAGCGACCGGATTGCAGCATACAAAGATCTTCCAAACTCTCATTTTTCTCCTCCTCCGGTTGACAGGACCCACTGTCCCTCCGCCCAAACCCGAAAGGGCAGCCACCACCACTCCCCGTGCTAAAACCATGGAGCCAAGTTGCTGCGAACTCTGATGATGGCGGCGGAGAAGGCGATAGCTGACTTCGGCAGCGACTATTTCGAATTTGCTATTAAGTTAAACGCTCTTCATTTTGTGTTGGAACCGCCATGCTTCCCAGCGATGTTTAATATGTCGAGAAGATAAAAGGGGATGGAAGAAAAAGTCTTAGCCCTGCATTCCCCGCAGCAAGCCTGCTGTTTCCCCTCCGCTAAGCGTTGAGGACGAAAGAGACAGAGGAGACGGTGTGTGTTTTCTGTGCTTATTTATGATTTTAAGTTGCTTATTTCATAAATATGGAAAGTTAAGTGTGATATGTTTTCAGTGCTCTGTATGTAAATGCCCCCTTAAAATGTTAGAGATGCCATTTTTTTTCCCCCAAATAAAAAATTACTTATCTATAATGCGTAAAATGTCAAAATAGTTCACTTAATATTTATATGAATATTTTAATGATTTTTTTGGTTTTAAAATGTATAAGAAAATATCAAATTAATTCCCATAGGATTTTATTTTGGCACTTTACTCATTTTATAACATTTCAATAACATGTTGAAGGATCCATTTGCTTGATAGTCAGAACATTCTAATTACATTCAAACATTTATAATTCTGTATATATCTAACCTATTTTTTAAATACAGAAAAAACAAAGATACCTTTTAATCTTTCATGGTGAGCTCCTTCCCCTTCCCTCGACAGGATTATTACATATGAAAATTGCTTATATGAATAATAGTAAATGAAAGATCATTCGTAATAATTTTTCCTGCTAGATCTTTAGAGATGTTAAAGATCCAATTTCAAGCTGAGTTCGGCTCAAATTACTCGAAAAAACAATTTGATCTAAAAGTTAGCTCAAAATTTGGTACTTTTGTTTTAATTTGATCAAAATAACTTATCTATAATGTGTAAGATGTGTAAATAGCACACTTAATATTTATATGCTATTTTGGTTTTTAAATGTAGAATAAAATATAAAATTAATTCACATGTGGTCAAAATATTTTAATTACATTCGAACATTCAAAATTTTATATGCATTCATCTAACATAGTTTTTCCTTTCACCTCTCTAGGACTATTAATGATCCAATTTTTAGTTGAGTCAGAGTTCAACTCAAAATTTCCTCCTCCAACATCTTAGCTTGTAGTACACCTCATTTATTTCAATCATACCTCGATGCTAAAATTCAGGTTCGATTTTCTAGCAATGTTAATAATAATATATATATATATATATATATATTTTCAAGTTGTCTTTAAGTACATTGGGACTTGCATCAATATGGATGACCGCGTACAAAACACAGAACGAGTAATAAACAACAAATACTAGCACATAAAAGTTCATAAAAATTATAAAAAGAAAAAAAAAATGATCCATTTCATGATTATTGCCCCCCTCCGCTGAATCTAGCAGATAGGTAATGGCGCTCCATTCCACTCCTTCAGGCATTCGAGCAGTGGATCAATCGCCTTCCCCTCCGAAATGGCATCAAATACCTTGTCGAACTCTTCCCCCGGCGATCTCACCTTCTCTCCGGTGAGGAAGCCGGCGCCAAGCTCCTCCCTCACAAACCTGTAAAGAGGGTAAGACCTGCACTCCTTGATCCTGTTCCCTATGGCCGAGGAACCCTTCTCAAAAGCCGCTCTTGCTGCCTCCACCTCCTTCGGAACCGTAGCTTTGATCTCCTCCTCAAAAGCCGCGATCTTTTGGAAGATGGAAGAGGTGGAGTCCTTCTCCTTCTCCCCATTGTTGAGGGCATGCTCCACCAGCACCTGCCGCAGATTTTTCATCAGAGGGTAGGTTGAGCTGCAGGGGTCGTCGGCATAGGCGAACACATACTCCCTATCTATCACTTTAATCAAGTCTTTTTCACAGAACCTCGAGGGATGGAGCTCGCCATTAACCCCCGTTGTCAGCGTCTTCTTCGCCGCCAGGCTCACCGCATTCTTCACCGTACTCTTCAAGTTCTCCTCCAAATGTCTCAAATCAATGGCTTGGCAGATTGCAACCAAGAAAGTGCTTGTCATAAGCTTTAGTATCTCCACCGCTTCAGCCGTCTTCCTCGATGATATCAGTCCCAAAGAGTTCACGTCTTGATTATGCTGTTCCGCGCTCTGCACGTGGTTTGTGACCGGATTGGCCAGGTATTGAAGCTCAGAACAGTAAGCGGCCATGGCTATCTCTGCTCCCTTGAAACCGTAGTCCAAGCTCGGGTTTCGCCCGCCCGATAGATTCGAAGGCAACCCGTTGTTGTAGAAATCATTCACAAGCTCTGAGATTTGAGCGAACATGAGCTTCCCAATAGCAGCAATGGCGAGTCTTGTGTTGTCCATTGAAACCCCGATGGGGGTGCCTTGGAAGTTGCCTCCATGGAGAGCTTTGTTCCTCGACACATCAATCAAAGGGTTGTCGTTCACAGAATTGATTTCCCTCTCGATGGACTTGGTCGCCGAGCGAATTACTTCAATCTGAGGGCCGAGCCATTGGGGTGAGGTGCGGAGAGCATAGCGGTCCTGTTTCGGCTTCTGTAGTGGATCCATCTCATGGAGCTTCTTCGCCACCTTCATGTAAGAGCTGCCTTCGAGCACGTGTTCCATGATGGCGGCGGCTTCGATTTGTCCCGGATGGTGTTTCAGCTTGTGGGTGAGGTGGTCGGTGTATTCGGGCTTCCCCTGCATCACTTCGCAGAACAGAGCAGATAAAACCTCCGCCATGACGGCTAGAATGTTTGCCTCAAAGAGGACGATGGAGGCAAGGCCAGAGCCGACGGCAGTGCCGTTGACGAGGGCGAGCCCTTCCTTTGGTTGAAGCTTGAAGAATACGCCAGAGATTCCGGCTAGGCGGAAGGCTTCGGCGGCGTCAATGGCCACTCCGTCAGCAGTTACGGCCTTGGCGTTGGGCCGTCCTGTCAAAACTCCAGCAATGTAGGAGAGAGGGACGAGGTCGCCGGAGGCGGTGATGGTGCCTCTCAGGGGGAGGCAAGGTGTTATCTTGTTGTTCAGGAGGCTTGCAATGGCTTCCAGGATCTCAAATCGGATGCCGGAGTAGCCCTGAAGAAGCGTGTTGATTCTCACCAGCATCGCCGCTCGGGTCGTTGCCGGCGACAGCGTGTTGTTCGGATTGGATCCAAAAATTCCTGCATTAAGGAATCTGCAGCAGCAAAAAGATTGCTCTTTTTAGACCATTTTTCAACTTCTAGCCATATGAAAGTTCAACTTTTGTTGGAATATTCCATGAAAAAAAAATCAATCTTTCCAAATGGGCACACACACTTTACATATGTCGACGGTTGATCGATTGAAGTTAAAAAAAAAAAGTCCAATGATTCAACCATAGTATATTTCAATATTAAAATGTATTAAAAATTACTGTATGTTCGATCGTTCACTCAAAATTCATCTAGAAATGAAATTCAATCAAAGCAAAGTCAGTGAGCGTGGAAGACAAAGGGGAGACATCACGTAATAGTGAAAATTGACGCAGCAATACAATTATTATTATCTTCACCGAAAAACAAGGACATTTTTTTTCATTTTTTATTTTTAATTTTTTGTGGAAACGTAACACAATAACAATTCATAGAGAACATATATTTTTCCACCTAAGAAAAATGAAAATATTTTGCCTTCCTAGTCTTGTGGCCGGTGAAAATGGCAAATTATTTGGAAGTAAGATTTTTAGTTTTATTTTGGGAAAAGAAAGGTTACAACTTTACTTCATCTTCTTACCAAAGTTGTAATACCACCTACCGCTCGAAAATCTAACCAACCACAAAATATTAAATTATTTAAAAAAAAAAAAAAGATTGTTATAAAACCAGTTTAATATATATCATCGAGAGAACCACACCTTGTTATCTCCGCCATTCAAGGTAAAAAAAAAAAAAAAGATAAAAATCCGAGCTTGGTCCACAAAAGATTAACAATTTCAAAGTTGGGTAAATTTACTAATATTTTTACCTGATGAGCTCTTTCTGAAGGGCGCCGGCTTGTTTAGTGCGACGGTGAGAGGTGGCCCCGAAGCCGGTGGTGACGCCGTAGTAATCGCCGCCATGATTCGTGTTATCCAAAACCCAGTCGCTGCTGGCCTTCACGCCGGCACGAGCCGACTCTGCAAGCTCAACGGCGGGGGCTGCGCCGGAGGCCACTGCAGCGACCTGAGAAATACTTAGCTCCGCTCCCCCGAGCAATACCAGAGGTTGCCTGAACTCCTCCACCATTCTCTTCACCTCATCCAGGTGGCTCCCCTCCGCCGCCTTCGCCGCCGCAGCCCATCCCAGCGGATCCCGCCCCTTGACGCAGAGTCCCTCCATTACTGCAACTCCGTTTGCGTGCCCGTTCTCCATATTTCAATGAGACGTAGAATCCAAAGGGAAGACCAAGCACCAACCAAACAGACTTGCAGAGTAAGAGAGATAGATATGTGCGTGTAGGAAAGTCGACTCTTTTCTTTCAAGGAGCGGATTTCCTGAGGCGGAGCAAGAAGGGCGTGGGTTTAAATAGATAGGGAAGATGGGAGGGTTAGGTGTGGGAAAATCCGTGCCGTCAGATGAGATCGTCGAATCTACGGTCGATTTAACGACACGTGTAATGGAAGACCGCTCCCGCTGTTGGTAGCGAATGATACACGAGGGTGGGAGTTTGGTGGCCGCGGCTTGTTCTTTGTCACTACGCCGTCACCAAGCAGTTTCCGCTTCTGAGTGGTAGTTAGTAACACCATATAATTTGACTCCAGAATGGAACCCGAACGTATCTAACACGTGGGCCCCATTTTGAGTTAAGTTGATTGGGAGGCTCATGTTTGTGGATGCAGAAATCAGTGAATTTTGGTGGAAATTTATTGAAGTGCTTTCCATATTTCTAAAAAAAAGTAATTCCAAAAACAAAAAATTAAAAAACCTTTCGGAGGGGTAGGTGAGGGAGTAGAGACTATTGCAGCTACCATATTTCTTGCGGCTTACCATAACAATTTATTTTTTTTATTTTTTTGTGATGAATAAATAAATTTTAAATAACTTTTTTATTTTTCTTAAATACAGCTTCATTTATCAAACTAAAATATTGATGTTCTGTTCATTTACTTTCATGTACATGTTGACCTATAATTTGAGGAATAACTACAGAATGATTTAATATAATGATCTGTTAAATATAGTTTAATCATCAATCATAAATATTAGGCGGTTGGATTACACAATGATTACAGTAATATGATGTTATGATAAGTTAAAGATGCACATCAAAAGTGATTTTTCAGGTATATTTCTTCAATTTAAAACATCATTAGGAGATAAAGCTCCATAAAAAAAACAAAAATTTAATAAATAAATATAATAGAACTTTAAATGTGAAAGATGCTCCAAATAACTAAACCTTCAGAAGAAAATAAAATTAGAATTATTTTTTAATAGTAGGTTAACATTTCTAATGTTTGATTGAGCATCTCAAATGCTTAAAAAACAAATTAGTAAGATATTAGATAATTTTAAAGATGACAAGCTATAAATATCCTCTTTTTGTCATTACGTGACTGAAAAATCTTTTTTTTTTTTTTTTTACATTGTTAACTACAAACTTTCTTGAGTTTTAGATAATTAGAACAAAATTTTATAAACATTTAAGAAGACGACATATCATAAAATATCTTCTTTCTTTTTTTTTTGGTAAGAAATTTTTAGGGATACCAAAAAAAATACATATATTATTGAATTGCATATCGAATATCAAAATATTTATGTTAAAATATACAATACATTTATAATATGTAAAATTAAATCAAAATATACCCTTAAAAAAGATGGATATATTTTTATATAATTTAGATATTGATGTGCTTTATAAGAAAATATAAATATTTAACCATTTTACATAAATATAAAATACATCAAAAATCTCTCATCCACTAATTCCTTCTCTTAATTGATATGATTTACAAAAAGGGTCTTTTACCAAGCCCGAATTTTCTTAATGTATTATTTATATTAAAAATAAACAAGAAGCAGTCCTATATATATATATAAAGTTTATTTAAATTATAATATTTCCGCCAGCTTTTTCCTGTTCAATTAAGCTTCCAAACAAATTAAGGTAAAAGTTGGGATGTCAGGGAGCCAGAGCGGGCATGAGAGAACGTGTTGTCTTGATTTTTAGGGTGGAAGAAAAAAAAAATATAAATAAATTATAATATTTGAGATACCTAAAACAAAAATTTAAGCTGTGGTTAGGTGAAGCTTTCCATTCCCACCAACCCGCCCAACTCTTTAAGACGACTTTCCTATTAATGTATTTGTTCTCAGTCTTCACTGATTTTGATATGGTCAAACTGAATATATATTAAATGCGCGCCAATCGATGTCCATGTATTCACCTATCTCACATCTAAATATTACCTTTTACATTTCAATCATCAAAATCTTTTACATATTCTTTTTTTAAAAAAAAAATCATTAATATTTTTAGTATTTTGATCAATAAATAAAGTTACATGCAACATACGAATTGACTGGTATATCTATGATACAACAACAATAGTAATCCTTTTTTTTTTTCCATTACGCCGTATTGAGTGATCAGTCGAAGCTAAAGCATCTACTCTCATAACAGGATCATCAGATGGTCGAAGTTTGGTGTGAGCAAACTATCTAAGACGACTCTATTCTTGTCCGCAATAGGAGTTACACACACTGACCAAATCACGGATATATTCATTTCGCATTTTGTCTCTAAGTGTCAAACGACTCATCCACCTAAGCATTCTTATCTCAGCAACACTTAACTTTGCTTTAAGATTAGGTTTGATGTCTATTATTTTTTCTATGTATGTTCTATAATTCTATTATTCTGATGTACATGACAATTAGCAATAAAATGGAAGAAAGATAATGGAAAGAAAATGAAAGATAGCCTACCATTTATGTATCTTCCTTTCTTCATTTTCAAATCACCAACATGCTAGAAATTTAAACTATAATTAAACATTATAGAAAATTAATTATCTTGCATCAACTTTCTACGTGTTTTCTTTAAACTATGCTGGAATCGAAGGGGTGTTAAAAAATTGATCTGACTCGCCAACTTAATCCGTACCTGACTCAAAAAATGTGGGTACAGGTTAACCCAAATAGTTTTTGGGTGAGGTTTGGGTTCAAGAACCTAGCCCATTTAATCTTTTGGGTCAAGTTTGGGTTGATTCCCCGATGCAAAAAATGACCCATCAAAATTTAAATTGCAATTATTCTTTATGTTAAATTCAAGAACCTAGCCTGTTTAATCTTTTGACTTACCAACTCAAAATTGACTGAAATGGATCCAATTGTAACCAAAATAGCAATTATTCCATATGTTAAAGGACTTATACGAGTTAGATTCAGGTTGGCAGGTTGAAGGTCGGTCAAATTCAAGTTGAAATTTACAACCCGTATAATATTTGGACTGATTGTGGGTCAACAAGTTAGTTTCGAGCATCTACCTCTCTCTCTATCTCTCTCTCTCATCAGTCAAGAGTATTTCTCCCTCTCTGGTTTCAACATTTATTGTGAATTGATAGTTTCTAGTGACATTCGAGTCATTTGAGATCACAAATGGAGGTCATCCAACGAAATTTGAACAGCTGCGGAGGAAGACTAGACTGAACTAAAGTCTCGGTCAAATGTTTTCATCTACTCGGCTCATATTTCTTACGCGTTTAAATGCTGAGCTCATATTTCTTTATGTGTTTACATATCTACAAGCACTTTGATAAACCTTTGTTCTGATTTGAACTCGTAGGACATGAATTGTTATGAATAGTTTCAATATGGGACAAGTAAAAAATTGTTCTGATTTTTTAAATAAATATTAAAACTTTATAACCCACTTTTAATAGTTATACAAATTATCCTACAATATAAATGGCCATATCCACATTTTTTGTGGGCCCTTCAAACACTTCTTTGAGTGCCAAACCGCGTCAATTTCATTAAGCGAAGCACATTCAAGCCTTCATCCATCCATCATTCTCATCTACCGAACCTACCTATCATTTATATATATATATATATATATATGGTGTATATATATATATATATATATAAATGATATGTCACCACCAAATTTTCATCATCATACATTGAATCTCGAGGCACGACACGAATCTCGAGACAATTTTTTTAACAAGAAACATTCAAACTTCAATGAAGAGCCATCCAGAACTTTGAATTCAGCAAATTTATAATCAAACTGACTGGTAAATCAAATCTGAAAGTGGTTATTCGATGATGGACAAGACTATGATGGCTCTGAAATTCTCAGCAATAATACTCCGTCCGTACTTCCAAGCCCACACTATCAACGTCTGCACACAACTCTCTTTGAAGGTTATCCTACAAAAATCAGAAGCATCGAGAAGATTGGTTAAATTTTTGGTAGAACTGAGAGAATTTGACATTTGTTATCTATCACGACCAAACATCAAATCATAATTGTTAGCCGACTTTGTGGTAGAATGTATAGTGCCTGCTTATGATGAGTCATATTTTTCTCTTCCACGGTAATCTCAGTGGACACTGTACTTGGAGAGAGCATCTGAAAACTCTGGAGTCGGTGTTAGAATACAACTCATCTCCCCGGAGCAAGACATCTTAGAGTGTCGGCTTCGCTTGAAATTTTACATTTCAAAGAGCTAGTGGACAACGTAAATTCATCATCTTAGCTGTCGACTACTTCACCAAGCCAATGCCTTCTTACGCGTGCTAGTCAACATCAGTAAAACCAATGTCAAATGGTTTGTCTAGAAAAATATTGACCCTCGCTTCAGGTTCCCCACGAAGATCATCATTGATAATCAAACTTAATTCTTTGGAAAGGTCTTCACATAATTCTGCAATGATCTTCACATCCAGTTTGTGCACACTGCCGTGGCGCATCCCCAAACGAATGGATAGACATAAGTGACGAATAGGAAAGTGCTCAAGGGGTTGAAGAATAATCTTAAGAAGATTAGGGGGTAGTGGGTGGAAGAGCTCCATAACGTCCTCTTGGTCTATCGCACCACCTCGCGAACTAACCTGGAAAACTTCATATTACTTGTATTTCAACACCAAATATGTCATTCCAGTTAATATCGGAGTTCCAAACCCACAAGTTAAGACTGTCGAATCGAATAGTAACGAGGAAAAACTCCGCAACATTTGGATCTCTTCCAACATGATGTGGCTTAACTTAGAGTAGTTTTCTACCGCAAATGAGTTGCTCGTCACTTCAACTAGAGAGTCAAGCCTCGACCTATCTCCATAAGTGACTTGGACTTGTATAGTATTGAAGACGCCGATCGTGGTCCTTAACGTAACAAACTGTCCCATCTCCGAGAAGACCCTTAAAAAATAAAATTCTTCAAATTCCATCATTTCGACTTAGTGCCCTATAACCAAAATTAGGTCTGATTTCTATTGCTCTTTTCCATGTATTTTCTATAACACTA